GCATATTAAGCCAAACTTATATATCCTAATGTTATTCGAAACGCTGAATACGAATCCGATTTCCGTTAGCCTCCATCACGTCAGGATCGTGGTCAGTTGAAGTTGTTTATTTATTTTATACTTCACCCTGGCTCTTTTCAGTGGCTACGAGAACGTTTTCATATACCCCCATTTTTCATAGGTTTGGGATTGATTTCATTTATCTCTATTCCAAATTCTACGGTGCCACGCCGAATTTTCCAATAAACCCATATTTTTCCATGAGCTTGAGATTGACATATGTACATATATCCATATCAAGTACCAGGACTCTACCACAAATACTTCCAAAGATATGCAAAATTCGGTTTGTATGGGAGGTTTCACACCTCCTTTAGATATCGGTTTTGTTTTAGCATATAACCATCCTTGGAAAGTCTGTGTCCGAAATTTCAAAAAAATCGGTACAGCCGGTAAGGGCATTGTGACTCCTCAAGCACAATGAACAAAGGATCGAAAAAAAATAAATGAAATAACGTTGTTGACAAAAAAGGAATATTAGACTTAATTTTCTGTACTTCTCATAACGTAGAAAAGCTAAGAAATATAATAAGATAGGATATATTAAAACAGCCTGCAAAACACTACTAAAGACGCCCCTGAACTACTAAAATCAAATTGATTGAAAATTTGTTTTTATTTATTTATTTTATACTTCACTTTTGGGTGTGTCAAAATTTCATGTGAAAACAATATGTGTTGCTGGAAAAATTTCACGACTGTGAACCAAATACTAACCTTAACAAGTTAAATGGGGCCAATTTGAACGTAATTCAAGACGCTTTTTCAGCGACATTTTTTTCACAATTTTATGTTGGTAAAAAAACGAGTTTTAATGCCGAATATCGAATACATTTTTTTTCAGAAAGTGTAACAGTGATGCCTAAGTATTTTTTTAGCTTGGAAAGTTTAAGAATCACCCTGTGTTTCGTGTTATACAGAAGTGCTCACATACATACATACATGTGCGTCAAATTCGTTTTCATACAACATCGTAACCGCACAGAAGGCAAAGGATACATAGTACAACAAAAAAAAAAACACAACAAGCTACGAGGACAGCTAATACACAATTTGCATATATTTATCCATCAAATTGATGGATGCTACTCCAAATATAAGCTGCATGCGGAGCGTACAAACAGTTGAACTCGTCAGCGGCCAACATCGTTCGGAGGTGTAGGGGAAGAATCTTCTAACATTACCATGTAGATGATGCATGTATGTACATACGTGAATATATTTATGTACATAAGCACGTACATATGTATATGAGCCTAAAGGCTCTGTTATGCATACTTGGCATTGCATGCACTGCTATACCATTTTTACGTAGAAATCAAAAACCAACAGACTTCTACGTATGTAGTGCTGTGCGTTCGATAACCGATTACACGCGAGGCTCATTTAACAGATTTCTTATGTGACAGCTCTCAAGCCATGCCAAGTATGCATAACGGAGCCTTTAGCATCACAAAACAGGTGTGGTTATACTTACATACATACGTACATATGTAGATATATTCAACAAAAATTGCTTTCCTCATCTCTTCCTCTGTTTATACTACATTTGCATTCAATTTACTTAGCACGTAGCCTATAGGAGTGAACCCGCACGCATTTAAATAATACATATTTATATGTAAGTACATATGTATATTTAAATCGAATGGATAGATTTTACTAAGTCAGACAATGCTCTTTAAAATTTCATCTTTAGATTTTTTTAAACAAAAATACCACTTTGAGGCACGGCACAAAACAAATCGAACGGAGTAAAGTCGCAGCTCCGAGGTGGTCAATTGACCACGCCGAGACGGCTGATAATACGATTGTCGAACATGGCGCACAAAAGATGGATTATGGCATGAGCTGTGTGACATGGCGCGACTTCCTTCTGAAACCAAAGTTCGTCCAAGTTCATGTCTTCAACTTCCGGCCACAAAAAATCATTTATCATGCTTCTGGAGAGCTCACTGTTGACCGAAATTGCGTTTTCAGCAACATTTTCAAAGAAAAATGGGCCTATGATGCCACCGGTTCAAAATCCGCACCAAACTGCCATTCTCTGAGGATGCATTGGTTTCTCGACGATGATTTTTCGATTTTCCAATAAACACCTGTTTGGGCTAAACACAGACGGCAGCGTTGATCCGCAGTTAATTCCCGAGTTGATCCGGATCAACGCTGCCGTCGGTTTATGCTTTAAACAACATTGCCTTGGAAATAAGTTTTCATTAGTTCCCAACGTTGTTCAAGCGTAAAGCGATTAACTCTTTCCGGGGCACTACAAGAAATCCCTAAAAATTAATCAAAAATTTTATTTTATCTCATTCATTTGAGTTATTTGTTTAAGAAAATATAAAAAGAAAAATTTTATTCTTGCAGGATTCTGTTCAAGGATGTGGTACAATTTGTTTACCACCGCGCATGGTGTGCACGGTTTATTTATGAAATTCACTGAAGCAGGTTTTTGTTTTGCTGAGACAAAGCGGCACATTGCAAGTAGAACACATCCATGGAGTCCTTCTTTGGTGTCCTTTTTTGCTGCAGTGTGCACATCTACGTAAAGAGGTTCTGACTGGTTGGTGGGATGATGAGGATCGTAAGCTTGGATCTACAAACGGCTTATTTTTTCGTATGCGAACTTTAGTTTTCTTTTTATTTGACGTTGGGCCTTTGAATGAACAAAGGATTGAAATTAAATCAAGTTTGAAGTCCTTGAGTGGTGATTCGTATCCTGTGTTTTTCGCGATAATAAAGGCATTCACTACTGCGACATCAAGAAAGTGAAAAAATATTCGGTGCCACCATTTACGGCTTTTTCTATTTAGCTCGTAATATTTTTTTAGTTGATCCAACTTATCAACGTTGTTCATGTGCATATTATAATCGTGTATAATATCGGGTTTTTCGATCTCTTTTAGAGAACCATCCCTTTGGCGTTGGTTCACCTTGACAAATTTATTTGGATCATGAAAGTTAGATAAAGCTGTAACCGCTCTTTTGTCAATCCACTTCATAAACAATAAACCGGAATCGCTGATTTGCCAATCATATTCCCCTCTTTTTAATTGTTTATCAGACTTGATATCAGTAGGGAGGAATTTTCGGTTTTGTCGCACTGTTCCGCAGCTATTTATCATCCGTTTTTTTAGTTCTAGAACTAAGGTGTATGAGGTAAAAAAATTATCGAAGAAAACCTTATGGTATTTTCCTCCAAAATCTGATGTTAGTCCAAGAACAACCCGCTCTCCAAGTTTTTTTTCGACTATGTTTCCTATATAACTGTCGTTCAATTCTGGACGCGATGACCAATAGTCTCGGTAACTGCTCTGGGGTTTTATTCCCATCAAAAAGTTTATTCCAATAAAGACACGAATTTCGGACGCATTTGTCGGAATGTAGTGCTTGCCAGATTGTTGGGCATACAAATTCGTTTGGAAAACTATATGTTCAATAATTTCCGACGTTATTATCGCTTCAAAAATTGCGAAATTGTTGTGGGAAGACAAGTTTTCGATAATGTCAGTAGGTCCCTGCATCGCGCCAATAAATACTTGCGTTGACTCCGTAGAATTCTGCTTATTCCACTTGGGTGGGATAAACTGTTCTTCTATATTCATTAGAGCAGCTAAAGGTATCTCGTCTTCGCTATCATAAACTTCTTCATTGCCTCCAACTTCTTCATTGCCTTCAACTTCTGCATTGCCTTCAACAATGCCGTCTTCCTCATTTTCTTCCGCAATGATGTTATCAAATATTTCCTGGATGGTTTCATCAACATCGTCTACGATTGACTCAGCGTCTGATGGAATTTCTGCCAAATCAATTTCATCATCATCGATGGTTTCCAATATATAGGAGATATCCCTGGCCTTTAGTTTGTTAGCCATTTCTGTGGATACATATGTACATACGTATGTAGTATGCGCAGTGGTAAAATTTATGTACCATGAACTTTAAATACTTACCAAATCAACAAATGTCTTCGTTTTTATTTCATCGAGTTAGAAATAAGTTCACCTAAACTTTATTTATTGAAAAATACAGCAGACTGACGCCGCAATTCGCGCTTTTCACAAAATATGATAAATTTCGAGGAACACTCCCGACAAGTACTATTTTCACACTCTTTATGCATAAGAAAAATATATATTCATCTCCTTTTCACACTGGATATAATTTTTTTTTGGAAAATATACCTTTAAATTTGCTTATAAAATTGGTATGAGATCAATACCATCGCGCACAAAATTTAGGTAAATTATTTAAATAAGTGGTACAGTTTTTTTACCAGCGTCCCGGAAAGAGTTAATTGCGTTCCGCGGAGATATGATACTGACATTTGGTCAAGATATCTATCCATATGGACCACCCGTTATGTACTTGCAAGGGAACACTGCACACATACCCGTGAACGAGTTTACGTTGATCTCTCCTTTTATTTCTTATACCTACATACATACATACCTTCATTGTTAGATAACGAAATTTTCTATTTCGTCGACAAAAATGAAATAAATTGAAAGGCGAAGAATTTCGTGCAAGCTGACTTTAATATTTTCATTTTTTTTTTTTTGATACACTGCTTAGTTCTGTTGCTGCTGATGTTTTCACCCTCCATACCACTGTGCAGCAAGGGGTGGCTGTCACGGCATGCAAATTTCCAACTCACGCATTGAAAGCTCGCTTTGGCGAATACGCAGTACCGATTTTTTTTTTGCTGCGAAAATTTACAAGGCTTTCGAAATTTAACTGTTTGCATTTCAACTGACGCATTCGGACGTTTTGTCAAACCTAAAGCATTTAAATTTAATAAAACTTAAACTTAAGCTCGCTTTACATACTTACGTGATACGAAATATTTGTATGTACATATGTATGTATGTACATCTGTCCTTATTATTAAAAAGTAAAATATTGTTGTAAAAAATTTAAATATTTTATTTTTGCTTTAAATAAACTGAACATATTTTGTAGCAATGCATTGGAGAGGTAAAAGCAACTCCTTCTGGAAAGCGACTGTGGTCAACTTCACTACCCACAGCTGCAATCATTTCTTCAAGTATGGCTCATTAACATCACCAGCATCCTTTTCCGTCACTTTATTTTTATATGTACACAAAGTTGTAAAGAAATTTGTACATACATATAACAACCTTACCTTCATTACCGCCATCAGCTGTTGCTATCAATGGTGCCCGAAATTACGAATCTGCTGATGAAAACAAAAAATGCGTAAAAACACTAAGAGGAAACACGGAAAAAACCAAATTAATGCGAGTGAAGTATTAGAAGTAACAGAATGAAAATGAGACTGAAAATAAATAAATGAATGAGAAAATGAGAATCGCAATGGCAATGAAAATGAAAATGAGAGCACGTCGCACTGGTGCGATAATTGTGGTCCTTCCAGCCAGCGACAAATCTAAGGTGTGGGTATGGTTGCTAGTGCTACTGTTACTGTTGGTAGTGCCTGTTGTGGTACATTTAACTGTAGCCTCTAATCTATTTATGTATTTGTTCACTTAGTGCTCAATGCGATTGATAACAAAATCCAGAGGCGCTTAGAAATCCTCCAAGTAGTAGTTTTTTGGTAAAGCTGAAGGGTTAAGTATCTGAAAACAAAAAAAGTTTTGGGAATTATCTTAAAAGTGACAAATTGAAAGCTAGAATCAAAAGTACATTGTTTCTATTGCGGCCGAGTATCAAATGAATACTTGGCAAGATAATTATGCCAGAACCGTTAAAAAATAAGCCGAACCTTTATTTACATATCGATGGCCCTGTGCAATAACGACACAATTGAAAATTTAAAATATAAAAACCCTTACTACTGTTAAGTGGAACATGTCTCTAATACTTAACAAAACCATGTCTCATCTTTAGTTCTTGGAATGGAATGGAATGGAATTGTGGGTGGCCAGAAAAACTAGAATCAAATTTTTCCAAGCTCTCAAGCAGTATTGCCCAGGTGGGGGTGGGAATTCATTTCTCCTCTGCAAACTTACCAGACTCCCTTATGAATTTTAGCAATTTGTTGAGGGAAAGAGAATGTACGTCGTCCATTTTCAGTACATCCGACCCAAAAATGTACCATCTGAGTCTGGCGAAGGCCGCACTGCGGCAAAGAAAATATTCTGTGCTATCCTCGTCCTCCAAACACGATGTTGCCTATGGTGACCATATGTCGTCCCCATACCATTTGACTCGGCGTAATGCACTATGTCCATAATGTCCCTCGAAGGAGGGGAGACTATAGAATGGTATGTCAGGTAAGCGGAGACTACGATGGCATCGGCGCGCTTCCCGTCCGTACAGTACCCAATTTTTGTCGCAACGACATCTTGGGAGCAGAACTCTCTAAGCATCGTGCATTCGACCGAACGCGGCACTATAATGCATACGCGCGGCCATACTGTCCCTCTAAATTGAAGGAAGTTACCCCAGGAAATCCCTCCAAGTCCACAGATACGCCCGCGGAATACGCATGGTTCCTGAGTTAGGATTACTTTAGCAAGCCTTACTGCTCACTTTAGTAAGTTATGGAAATGGATTATACAAGGATTAGAGACAAGAGCCACTTAACAGTAGTAACTGTTTTTATTTTTCGAATTTTGAATTGTGTCGTTATTGCAGAGTTCCATCGATATGTATATACATATTTCAAAGTTGAAAAACCTATTTTATAAATATTTATTTATTTGGAAGATCTACAGTTATAAATAATTATGTATATGTATACGTACGTATAAAATTGAATGCAAAATACAACCATAAAATTGAGTTAAGTTACACTTAACAGCAAAAGTCTGCGTACCCCATTTCTTTTTTAAATATTCACAATATATTTAGAGCTAAAATTTGTTTGTTATTATTTTATAAAAAAAAATTATCATGCTTAAAACAAAATCATATAAACCCTGTTTTCAAACATTATATAAAACAAAGTTTAATTTAACGATTTTTCAGCAAAATTTTCGACCTTTTAATCAGATTAAAAAAAAATAAACAAAAGTGGTAAAGAATCTCACTTTGAAACCGCAGTGCTATTGATATCACCGATGCTGTACATACGTAAATATATCACTGAGCACCCGAAATGTGTAGTTATGCAGTGATTTTTTTTTAACTTCCAATATTTTTCATTTCAAATATTTTTCTTTAAGTTTTTATTTAAGCACAATTTAAATTAAAAAAATCAACGTGTTGTAAGTGTCTGACAGCATTTTTATGTATACTCACATATCTGTCTTTGTATGTCCTTCCGTAATTTACAATGAGTTTTACTAATAAAAATTATAAATAATAGTTAACATATGATTTTTATTTTTTCGCCCAAGAATAATGATTACCCCTTGATTTTAAGTATTTTGCTCGAGAAAAATGAGCATAAGGATTACTTTTGATTTTTATTTTTTCCGCTCAAGAATAATGATTGACACCTGATTTTTATTTTCTTTCCGCAAACATAAAACTCAAAACTTTATACGACCAAGACCATATGAGCTGTTGGCTTGTAATTTTATGAGAACATACTACCCTGTAGGGAAACTCTGAACTGGTAAACCAAATTTGTAGTTCTGTACTAGATCTGTATCGCCAAAAACGAACCAGTCCGACAGTAACTAGATCGCCACCAGTTCAAAAGCAGCGATATGTGGTACTTTAAAAAACAATTTTCGAAATCTATATCTAAAATGACGAATTTAGAACTGGTTCAAAACTATAAAAAAATAGATGCAGAACGAACTAGATCTCATTTAGTGAATTTTGAACTAGTTCGAAACTACTGAAAAAGGGATGCAGCTTGTTTACTTTAAACAGATTTTTGCTTGGCGGATTTTTCGTTCAAATACGCTTTCAGTCTGCACGTCGCAGATGCTTTTTCATAGTTTGGTAAAACAAAACTAAAATTTGTGTTAACATCTTAACATTTTGGGACCTTCTGGAACATAACCAATAACAGTCAGCACCTCTGCAAATTCAGCTACAGCCAAAGGTATGTAAACGTGTTTTCAAATCCACAATTTAATTTACATTCATTCAAACAAATTTGATTTCAGATTGAAAATACATTTCTTTGCAAATAATTAAAAATTGCTACCACGGTAACCCAAAAAGAAAACATCTTGTTACTTTTTCCGTTTACAACTGGTTGTGAACTATAGAAAATGGGGTGCAAAGCGAACTAGATCCCATATGTCGAATTTAGGACTGGTTCTGAACTATAGAAAAGGTAATGTAGCGGGGGACAATTTCCAATTCCTATGACATCGCTGTATTAAATTTGCCAGTTGTTTGCATGCAAAAGAGATTTATCGCGAACTAGTAGTGGTTCTAAATATACTAGAAATGCACCAGTTCAAAACTAGAGATTTTCCCCACAGGGTATTTATCATGGGGTACCACCCAATGATAACGAAACGTTTGAAATTCTACACTTATAGGCAGAAAATCGGCATTGAAGTGAAACAAGATCGTTTTCATGCCTTTTGCATACGCATATGTATGTATATCCTTAATACGAAAAAACACTAACTTACTGATCGTTTAATTTTGACAATCCGAATGTGAGAGATGATGAATTTGTCTGCATTTGTCACTCGCGATAAAAGAATGCAAAAATAGATTTGGAATATTGTCGGTTATGATAAATCTCATAAATGAATGAAAACGAATAATCATAAATGAGAATTCCGAACCCTGGTTTAAAGTGACAAAATCTTCGTTTTAATTTTTTTTTAAAGAAATGAGTTGGCTACCCTCATAGGTTTTATTCTACATAAAAACGTGTGTTTATTCGTTATATAAACGCAAAAGCGACAAATAAAATTCTAAATTAACGGTAATTTGTATAATTTGCAGGATTGCTAATCAGTACTTTTAGCTACAGTTGCATTTCTTATACGACTTTTTTACCTCATTATGACATAATAATAATGAATAAATTATTTAACACCTAATTCCTCACAAAAAGCAGTTCATCTCCTGATTCTCCACGTAAACTGAAGTTCCGTCCCCTTTCAGACACGTCAAGTCTTGCTTTCAAGTCTGCTCGTTCGTAGGCGAAGGAGGTGAGAAGAGATTGGAAGAGTACAGATACCTCCGTACCGTCAATTCGTTTCAAGTTTTCTTGTCTCTATTGATCTTTTCGTTGCTTAACATTTAAAGAACCAAGGACTTGAATTCAATTAAAGTTGACGCGTGTGGAAGCAAATAGAAAACACAAAAGAGGATGCGAAAAACATTGCTTTCAAGACTGGACGTGTCTGAAAGGGGACTCTCCACAAAAAACCGGCCATACCCCGGTTCCACACGCAAACTAAAATTCCCCGCAAATCGGGGAATTCCCCACGAGTTGGCTTCTCTGGTACCTATGTACATATATAAGAAGCACTTGTTTCCATTGCATCCATTTCCGTGTGCATTATTTCCGTGTGTTTCATTGCCGTGTGCATCATTTACGGTGAAATAACCAAACCAATCGGCGTTAAAGAAATTTCACTTGAAAAATTCAATACATTTTCTTACCATTTCAGATACCGTAATTCTTATGTATTTCGCATTGTTTTCATTTTGGTCTTTATCTATAATTTTGCCTTCACTTTTTTGTCTCAAACTTTATCATTTATTTCTCCATCATCACATATATCTTTATTACAAAGTTTAATTTTAAACACGATGTAAAGCAAATAAGTAAATAATTTAAATTGAACAGGTTGCAATAACACCTATGTATATACATATACGGAAATTTTTAAACGACGATATTAGCCGTAATTTTCAACCGATTTTGAAACCATAAAAGGTCTCCTCATCTCCAGAAAAATTCCGTTCCAATGGTGGTTTTGAAATCGGTTTGGTAGAATCGCCAAACGAACGGAGACAAAATTTATGTTAGCGTGTTAGTATATAGATTGCCGCAAAATACTTCAAATTGGCAGCTAATTCGGATTATTGCATGCCAACATTACGAATTACAAAAGTGGCCTAAGAATTTGGAAATTACGGAAACGCTTTAGGATTCTTAACAAACGAACGTAGGACTAGGGTACGAAATTTCAGACTTTGGTATCGATACTGAGTAATCATTCTGGCATCGAGCTCATGGTATCGATACCCTAAAAGTATCAGGGAAAAAGTATCGATACTACTCAGTATCGGACTCATTAAAATACGTTTTTTTGGATACTTAAAATATTTTATTCTTCAATCGTATATCTAGTTATTTCATGAAAATAAAACAATATAAATGTAAAATATTTGATTTTTATTTCATTGCAGAACTTACTTTCACGTTAGAAGTAATTTTAATGTTAAATGTACATACATACATACAAATATATATATATACTTTCACGAATTTCAATTTTTATTAAGACATTTTTTTAAACTTTTTGGGTATGCATTTTCAATTGTAGTATAATAATGTGCAAATTTGAATTAAAAGCCAACGGTAGTAGGCTACACGTAATAATTTGGCTACACGTAAATTTGAATAGGTTACAAAACTGCATACCCAAAAAGTTTCTAAAAATTCTGCATTTTCGCGAACTTTGCGCAAAGTTTTATGGCCTTATTCA